TATAAGTTTATAGATGATGTACCTACTACTGCAGGTACCTACCTACAGAGGTTAATGTGGGAAAAAATTCCAAAGGGGACTAATAATGTTTCCAAAAAGTTTTAAGCGTTCCATATATAATTTTATGTATAATGTCTAATGTATAAAATCCTAATTTGTTAAAGGGGACGCTTTTTAACCGCCGTCAGAGGTAAGGGGACTGAGTCCTCCTCCGTCCCCCCCACTTTAACCCCTGCCTACCTACAAGGATTTTCACGCACCATGTTGACATCATATACCTACCTAYCTACTTAATAATAAATAATTTATTATAAAAAGTCATAAAAAGTCGTTGGAATATATTATTATTATTTACCACATTACAGTTCGATTTAATAAGTTTCAGAAAATAAAACCAGTATTATACCTAATCTATATGCACCAGAATCCCGACATTTCAGATGCGTTGGAATATTTCAAAACTAATGTTTAACCGCGATGACCTTTTCTTCCATCCAGTTGTTACCTGCAGCACACCTGTAGCGATAACGAAAACCGAAGCTTTGGCGWATTAAAAGTTATTATAATATAGGTATACAATTAATTTCGATAAACCTGAAGGCGCKTCCACAATGGGGTACATCATGTTAACGCCCTAATAGGTTAAAATGTATTACCTATATAAATTATTGGTTCCTACCTAGTTATATTATACATTTATACCGACGCGATGTCATATTTCAGGAATGTCCTAACTATAAAAAAAACCAGGTGGGTACAGCTTACAACATATATATTTCTTTCTCCGATTACGTAATAAACAGTATATATTAAGAAAAAAAATATTATTTTTCCAATTACAATAATATTATACTTACACGGGCGGTGTTCTGCCTCACCCGAGTTCCCAACCATTTGAATTGAATTCGTCGATTAATGTCAAACTTTTCCGAGAAAAAAAAATGTATCGTTATTTTACGATGATATTTATTGTTTATACTGTTATTTTAACGATCCTGTTGTGTTGTTTATTTTTTTTTCGTAGGCATAACATTATTTTATCCGATTTAAAAATTAAAATAATGCATACATTATATACGACGAAGATGTCTATCGTCGACGCTTGAAATAATGTAATGCACACATTTACCTGTTACCTATCATAAATATTATT